AATTATCCTGTGCTCCTGAGGTCAGGGCTGTCTGAGAGTCAGGAGAGACGGCACGCAGATCTCCCCTCAGGGCAGGTATTTCAGTGACTGTTCACAGGCAAGCCTTGAACAGAGACACCAGGTTTGTGGGTTGTAATTACTCAGCCCTTTATCAACCTCTCTGTGTGCTCCAGTTTGCAGGAGACAGCCTATTGCTAATTTCTTCCTGCTGAACTACTTTCTCCTTGCCTGTCAGCCACCTTTTCTGCAGGTGGCTAGCTGATAAGAGCTAGCTCAGCTCTTAGCACGAGTCAGCGGATGTGAGGTGGGCTCTTCAGAGCCAAACACCAGACTTGGTCAGCGTTTTGGAAGCAATTATTTCAGGTCTCACTTTGAGTTGTCTTTTGTGTCCTGAGTTGTTACCAAAAGGATCACTGGATTGTGTAAAAGGGAATATTGGATGGAGGACACGGCATTGGCTCTGTGTGAAGTGTTACTCCTGGACAGAGTGCTGAGAGCTGGTAGCCAGAATCTGAAAAAGACTGTGGAAAAACATAAAGAATTTGGGGGGTGGGAGGGACCAAAACATTTTTGTGTAACTTGTTTATGATTTGGGTAGGGAAGAATCATTTCTTTGGGGGTCACCTTCTAATCAAGTAAGCAAAGGTAGTATTTGCTACTGGCTGCTACTGAAACTGGATAAATTCAACGACATCATAAAGCAGTTTTGTACGACTAGGATTAATTATTTCTTAGGGTATGTCATCTTGAGGCTCTTTACTGCTTGTATCGAGAGTGAGGCGTTTTCTGGCTCAGGCAGAAGTTGTTGGTGTCAACTCAGTCAGTGCTAGAAACTAAAACTCTCCTGCGTGATGCCAAAGGCTATCGTTCCTTATCTTAGAGCCTTACGTAGCTTTGAAAGGCGAGAATTCTTGGCCTAGCTAGCCATAGGTCTCTTGAGTGCCTTTACACAGTTCACTCATACTGTATCTGCCCACCAGGTTTTCACTGTTTTAGCTAAATGTGTCATTTAATGAATTTAAGCGTGTGGAAGAAGTGCTGTCAGTATTTTAACGTGATTGGAGGCTAACAAAGTTAGAACCTAAGGTGGCACTAATGCTTAAACTGGGGAAAAAGAGGAGCATAGCGCCTAGGAGAAAAGCAGAGGCACCCGCCAGGTTTGTTAGTATGGCAGTAACTAACAATGCCATTTTGTCGTTTTATTATTTTATTATTATTATTGCGAAACTACATTTTTAAGAAAGTGTGTTCTCATCTCCCTGATTCTGGCCTGATGACAACTAGATCTGGCGGGGAAGAGAAGTATTCCTTCCCTGGGGGCACGAGCATCTTTCGGAGCAGAGCGCTGAGCCATCCCAAGCCGAGGTCCTTGCGTGCTGCCCTGGGGAACCCGGGGAGGTGGTGCCGTGGGAGAGGAGCTCCCCACGACTCATCGAAGATCCCAGGGGCTTCACGCGCGGTGGGGAGCGCACCCCAACGCAGAGCGAGCGTGCGACAAACTCTGCGCTGAGAAGGCTGTGTGCAAACTGTAAAACCTTTTGCGGAGCGTTTGGGCCCTAATTCTTTTCTCTCCTGCCTTCTCAGGTGCACTGGACCAAAGAGGAGAATTACATGTTCAGGCTCTCGGCGTTCCGGGATCCCTTGCGGCAGTGGCTCCAGGACAACCCCCACGCCATTTCCCCTCACCCTTTCTACCAGCATGTCCTGCACTGGCTGGAAGAGGACTTGCCAGACTTGTCTGTCTCTCGTGAGAGGAGCCGGCTGCCGTGGGGTATCCCTGTCCCCAGTGACTCAACACAGACTATCTACGTATGGGTAGATGCCTTGGTGAACTACCTGAGCGTGGTGGGCTACCCTGAGAGGCACGGCGAGTGGTGGCCTGCTGCGTACCACGTTGTGGGCAAGGACATCCTCAAGTTTCATGCTGTCTACTGGCCGGCGCTGCTGATGGCAGCGGGGCTGGCCCCCCCCGAGCGAATCTTTGTGCACTCCCACTGGACTGTCCGTGGGCAGAAGATGTCCAAAAGCCTGGGCAACGTGGTTGACCCCTTTGCTTGTACTGCAGAGTACACGGTAGATGGATTTCGGTATTTCCTGCTAAGGCAGGGCGTACCTGAGCGCGACTGTGACTATTACGATGAGAAGGTTGTTAAGCTGCTGAATTCAGAACTGGCGGATGCTCTGGGGGGGCTTCTGAATCGGTCAACAGCCGTCAGCATTAACCCCAGCAACACCTACCCTTGTTTCTCAGAGTCTTGTTTTCCAAAGGTCTTGGATTACAGGGAGACAAAAGGCACGGGTAGGGCTTCTGCTGAAGACTACGAGTTTGTGGCATCTGTGGCTTCTCTGCCTCTGCAGGTGGCTGGTTATTTTGAAGGTTTCCAGATCTACAAGGCTTTAGAATGCATTGCCCTGTGCGTAAGGCAGACCAACAGTTTTTTCCAGAGACACAAGCCCTGGAAACTCGACCGAAAAGACCCCGCAGAGCAGCTCTGGCTTGACACCATCATCCACGTTACGCTGGAATGCCTGCGTGTCTACGGGACTCTCCTGCAGCCCGTGATCCCTCACATTGCAGACAAGTTGCTTTCCAGGCTGGCCGTTGAGCCAGAAGAGAGAGGTCTCTCAAGTTTGACGTTTCTGCCACGCTACAATGGGAAGCCATGTCCCTTTGAAGGGAGACGGCTTGGACCTGACACCGGCGTCTTATTTCACAGACTAGAGAAGTCAAGGCAGGAGCAGATAGAAACCAAGAAGCTCTAGTCTCTGACAAACAGCTTCTGTAAATAAAAGCCTCCGGGAGCTCCCGGAAAACTTTGTCTTTGTTAAAAACATCTTCCTCCTATCTTGTGGTGGTGGTATGAAGTGGATGAGTGGAAAGCTGGACTGAGCAGGGCTGTGCTGTCCTGCCTGGGTGACTGGCAGGGGTCTCAGCCTGACAGGGGAAGCAGACACGCTCGGGTGGATTGGTTGTGAGCTAGGAGAGCTGCTCAGGTAATACCCGTGGAGGAACGCCTAGTTAGCGAAGCTGGTAGCAGAATGAAGATGCACCCTAGGGCTTGAGAATTGCTGCTTTTTTTCCTCTAATGTATTTTATGGGACATAACAAGTGGCTGAGGCAAATACTTAGCCCCTTAAAACAGGGGGCTCTTCCTATACAGTCTTGGGGCTCCACTCGAGACCCCTCTTGCCCGTGTCGTATCTTCCCTCCTGGCCCCTTCACCTTGTCTCCTCTGATGTGAGGAGCGGGTCGGGCGCGCTGCTGAGGACATCAGACATCCGTGTGGCAGCCGATCTGCCTGGCGATCTCTTCCAGAGACAGCAGCTCCCCAGCGTGCTCGCTCCAGGAATCCCTCCTCGGGCCGAGGCCTCCGGGAGGATCAAACTACCCCTGAGGGAAGAACGAGTCTTTCCCGGGGGGCCTCCTCAGCGGGAGGGCCGGGCGGCAGTTCTGCAGCTGGTGTCCTCGCCTCGGCTTTGCTCTGCGGGTTTTGGGCCAGGCCCGCGGCAGCTGCGGGTCGTCGGAAATGGTTTCCTGGTCGCGTCTCCGGGACACAGTCCAGACGGATCTGTTGGGTCCATCAGCTGAGCTTCCTTTCTGGGCCAAAACCTCCCGTTCAGCTGACGCCGGGGTGAGCCTGGGTGGGGAGGGTCCCTTCTGTGTGCCGGCTCGCCTGCAGGCATCGCCGAAACGGGGAGATGAGGGGAGATGGGATTCAGGTCCAGACTCAACTTTATGAGCCTCTTCTGCCTGCTGTTGTGGTTCACTGCACCCTTTTTGTTGCATTTCAGCGCTGCTGGAAGCAGGCGGCTCAGCACTGATCCCCCGGGGGGGCACTTTGACCGGGGATCCCCAGTTCCCAGTGACTGCAGGAGCCTTCCTGCACCGGTTTTAGGGGGCTGCACTCCCTTTCGGAGCTGCGTTGGCAGGGGCAGGGGGAGCCGTGCAGCCCCCTCGGGGCACCCTGGCTCTCGGGGTGCAGCAGAGGGGAGGGCAGACCGCGTCGCTGCCCCCTAATCCGGATTAGCCCCTGCGGTCCCCCCAATTCCCCCCCTGCTCCACAGACCCCACAGGGAGGAAGCTGGCTCCCCTCAGCCCACTCCCCTGTGCCCCTCGCTCCCGCCAGCCCTGTGTGCTTCAGGCTGCAGCCCCCCCACCCCACGAGCATGGGGCTCTGCCGTGGCCGCCCACCCGGGTACGAGGAGGGTCCTTCAGTATCTCCCAGCTCCTGAGCCCGTGGGTGTTTCTGTCCCCCCCCCTCCAGCCTCAGGGCCTGCCCCTCTCCACTCCCACCGCTGGCCTCGCACTGCTGTGTCTGTCTGTCTCCCACCCGGGAGGTGACCTGCGTGGCTGCCCCGCCGGTCCCCAGCTTTCCCCCCCCCCCCCCCGCCCCCGGGATGCCCGTTTGGCCCCGGGGGTGGGGGGCTCCGAGCCCAGGGGAGTGTCCGGTGCGTGGGGCGTGCCGTTGCTGGTGCGTGGGGCGGGGCCGGTGCGTGGGGCGTGGCCGGTGCCGGTGCGAGGCCGTGTCGGTGCCGGTGCGTGGGGCGGGGCCGTGCCGGTGCGTGGGGCCGTGCCGGTGCCGGTGCGTGGGGCGGGGCCGGGGCCGGTGCGAGGCCGTGCCGGTGCCGGTGCCGGTGCGTGGGGCGGGGCCGGTGCCGGTGCGAGCCGTGCCGGGGCCGGTGCGTGGGGCGGGGCCGTGGCCGTGCCGTGCCGGGGCCGGTGCGTGGGGCGGGGCCGGTGCCGGTGCGAGGCCGTGCCGGTGCCGGTGCCGGTGCGTGGGGCGGGGCCGGGGGCGGTGCCGGTGCGTGGGGCGGGGCCGGTGCCGGTGCGAGGCCGTGCCGGTGCCGGTGCGTGGGGCGGGGCCGTGGCCGTGCCGTGCCGGGGCCGGTGCGTGGGGCGGGGCCGGTGCCGGTGCGAGGCCGTGCCGGTGCCGGTGCCGGTGCGTGGGGCGGGGCCGGGGGCGGTGCCGGTGCGTGGGGCGGGGCCGTGCCGGTGCGTGGGGCGGGGCCGGTGCCGGTGCGAGGCCGTGCCGGTGCCGGTGCGTGGGGCGGGGCCGTGGCCGTGCCGTGCCGTGCCGGTGCGTGGGGCCGTGCCGGGGCCGGGGCCGGTGCGTGGGGCGGCGCGGCCCCATGAGGCGGTGAGGCGGCGATGGCGGCGGGCGGCGGCGGGCGGCCGCCGGGCCCCGACCCCTCGCTGGAGCCCTACGTGCAGACCCGCATCTTCAAGATCATCGTGATCGGAGACTCCAACGTGGGCAAGACGTGCCTGACCTTCCGCTTCTGCGGGGGCACCTTCCCCGACAAGACCGAGGCCACCATCGGCGTGGACTTCCGCGAGAAGACGGTGGAGATCGAGGGGGAGCGCATCAAGGTGGGTCACGGCGGCGCCTGCGCCCCCCCCCCCCCCCCCGAGCGCCCCCCGGGGCCACCCCCAGGGGGGGAGCAGGGGGAGGTTTCTCTCCCCGCGTTGCGGAGATGCTGTCTGAGCCCGGCCCTCTCGCCTCGGTGCTATTTATGGGGTTGGCAGGCGGTGGGAAACGGCAGCTTGGGGCGTGGGGGGGGGGGGAACGCTGCAGATGTGCCCCCGCCAGCCAGCACGGCCGGGGCACCGGGGGGGTCCGGCTCCCCAAGCTGGGCCGAAAGAAAAGCAAGGCTGCGGGGAGCCGGGGGAAGGAGCTGAGCGCAGAACCCAGCGTGGTTTGGAGGGGGGAGCGGATGGCTGGAGGCTGGCAGCGGCTGCGCTGGGGGGCCGGGAGCTTTGCAGGGGCTGGGTGCTGGCGGCTTGGTGGCGATGCTGCTGCCGGCGAGAGCTCTGGGAGGGCGCGATTTTGGCAGGACTGGCCTAGGGTAGAATCATCCGCTGCGCGGAGGCCGGCGTGACGCCTGGGAGAAACGCATCGGCCCGAACCCCGAGAGCTCCGGCGGGTGGGGGAGAGCCGATCTGCAAGAGCAGCAGCAGCAGCGGCAGCGGGTGGGATGCGGGTTGGGGTGCACTGCCGGCAGCAGAGCCCGGCCTGCCCGGGTAGGTGGGTCAGCCCGGCGGGCGGGGGGCGCAGGGCTGGCGGCTGGGAGAAGCAAATATCGCTGTCTTGCTGACAGATGGGCGATCAAAAGTTGAGGGGCTAATCACAATGAAATTAGAGCTGCTATGGGTGGGTAAGAACTTCAGTTGTGCTTTTAAACTCTCCGCGGACGTTCCTCTCTCATTTAAGAGGTGCTCATTTTCCCCCAGCTCTGTCCCAACGCCCCATAGCGGGGTTGCTATAAGCTGTAGTGCAGGCTGGCACGAAGCCTGTCTTACTGCCACTGACCAGGGAACATTGCCAGGGTTCCTACCTTTGGGTGTTATTTGTGCTCCAGCAGGCAGGAGTGGGAGGCAGCGCAGCAAACTGGCTTTTTCTTGGGACCGTGTGTCCAAGGGGGAGGTGAGCAATGGGCAAGGCACCCTCCCCTCCTGCTCTGCCCAGACGGGAGAGACCGGCCGAGAAACCAGTGAGCAGCAGCTCTTCTTTGCCAGCTTCCTTCCCCTCTGAAAAGACTCTGGGGCAAGCATTGTCTCGGTGGGGTACTGGGCGATTTGGATTAACTCCAGACGCTTGTTTGGAAATGGCCAGTTCCAGGCTTCAAGATATTACCTACAAGAGCCAGGAGAACACACAGAGTCGCCGCGTAGCAGCAAAGTGTGGGGTGGCAGGGACGTTCTGGGGGTCACCTGCTCCAACGCCCTGCTGAAGCAGGGCAGCTCAGGGCCCACTGCCCGGGTGGCTTTTGAGCGTCTCTGAGGCTCCACCACCTCCCCGGGCAGCCAGTGCCAGTGCTCGCAGTGAAAGGTGTTTCCCGATGTTCAGAGGGAGCCTCCTGTGTTTCAGCGTGTGCCCGTTGCCTTTGGTCTTGGCACAACGCTGAAAAGAGCCAGGCTCCCTCCTCTTTGTAGTCTCCCTTCAGGTATCTGTATACATTGATAAGATTGTCCCCCCTCGAGCCTTTTCTTCTCGAGGCCAAACAGTCCCAGCTCTCTCAGCGTTTCCTCGTAGGAGAGGTACACTCCAGTCCCTTCATTATCTTCATGGCCCTTCGTTGGACTCTCTCCAGTCCATGCCTCTCCTGTACTGGGGAGCCCAGAACGGAACACAGCACTCCAGGTGTGGCCTGACCAGCGCTGCACGAGGGGGCTGGATCACCTCCTTTGGCCTGCAGGTGATACTTTGGCTAATGCAGCCCAGGACACCATCCACCACCCTTGCTGCAAGCGCACGCTGCTGCCTCACCTTCAGCCTGGTGTCCACCAGGACCCCCAAAGCCCTTTTCTGCAAAGCTGCTTACCAGCTGGGCAGTCCACGGCGTGTACTGGTGCCCGGAGTTGTTCTTCCCCAGGGTCAGGATTTGGGCACTTCTCTTTGTTGAACTTCATGAGGTTCCTGCCAGTGCATTTCTCCAGCCTGTTGAGGTCCTTCTGGGTGGCAGCACAACCATCTCGCATCCCAGCCACGCTCCTCCCAGCTTGGTGTCATCCGCAGGCTTGCTGAGGGTGCAGTCTGCCCCACCATCCAGGTCATTAATGAAGATATTGAACAGGACTGGACCCGGTATTGACCCCTGGGGTACGCTGCTAGTTACCAGTGTTTGACTAGATTTTATGTCACTGACCACCACCTTCTAGGCCCAGATGTCCACCAGATTCCAATCCGCCTCACCGTCTGCTCATCCAGCCCAGGAGCTTGTTGGCTCCTCTGTCACTGGGGTCAGGAAGTTGCCACCAGTGACAGGACCAGGGCCTGCAAGCGTGAGGCTGCTCCGATCTGTCTTCGGAGCACCTCATCCGCTTGTTCTTCGTGGCCAGGCAGCCTGTAGCAGGCCCCCCAGTCAGCGTCACCCGTGCCGGTCTGCTCTTTAATCCCCAAGCTCTCGGGTGGCTCCTCACCCATCCCCATGCAGAGCTCCATGCTCTCCCGCTGCTCTCACACAAAGTGTGGCTCCCCCTCCTCGTCTTCTCTTTGCCCGGACTCCCCTGCCCGTACCACTGTGTTAATTGTTGGGGTTTTCTCCTTTGGTGTAGGATTAGGTGGACAAATGCCCTGATCTGGTGGAAGGATGTTGGTGAAACGAGGATGCTTTGCGCGGTTGGTTTCTGTTAAAGGAGACTCGAACTCCGTCGTGGGTTACTCTAGGATTGCAACATTTTCCCAACAGTTTCTGTGGTGGGGGGGATGGTGGCTGAGAGCATCGGGAGGAGGCTGAGAGGCACGGAGCCGTGCTCCCTGGTCGAAGTGCTGGTGTGACCTCTCGTGCCAGATGAGCTCGGCTTGCGTGGTTGGGTCACCCAAGCACGTGCCTTGCCCCATTCAGCCTTGGGCACCATCCGTGTGGGACGTGTAGCTCACCTGTGGTTCGTCTGAGAAGAGGTTGCCTCTCCCCGCAAGGCTCGCCTCGCCCGTGCCCGGCCTCCGGGCTGCGGCTCCGCTGCCGGGGGTGGAGGAGCGGGAAGCCCTGTGCCCCCCCGGCAGCAGGCCCTGCGGCGGGGCGGGCGCTCAGCGCTCCTGCGGCCCTTCTTTCTCGCCTGCTTTGCCTCCTAGGTGCAAGTGTGGGACACGGCCGGGCAGGAGCGGTTTCGGAAGAGCATGGTGGAGCACTACTACCGCAACGTGCACGCCGTCGTCTTCGTTTACGACGTCACGAAGATGGCCTCCTTCACCAACCTCAAGACGTGGATCGAGGAGTGCAACGGGCACGCGGTGCCCCCCCTCGTCCCCAGGGTGCTCGTGGGGAACAAGTGTGACTTGAAGGACCTGATCCAAGTGCCATCCAGCATGGCCCTGAAGTTCGCCGACGCTCACAACATGCTTTTGTTTGAGACCTCGGCCAAGGACCCTAAGGAGAGCCAGAACGTGGACGCCATTTTCATGTGCCTGGCCTGCCGGCTGAAGGCGCAGCGCTCGCTGCTCTGCCGGGACCTGGAGGGGCGGCCGGGCCAGGCCCGCCGGCTGGAGCCAGCGCACGACGCCGGCGGGAAAAACTCCTGCCCGTGCTGAGCGGGGCCCCTTCGCCCGCTGTCACGGCCCCCCAATAAAGGCTCGGCCCCCCAATAAAGGCTCGGCCCCCCAATAAAGGCTCTGCCCCCCCGGCCGCTCTGGGTCTTGCTTTGCGCGGGTCGGGTCGGCTCGGTTCAGTTCGGCCGCGCTCGGGCTCGGTTCGGTTTCGGTTCGGATAGTCTCGGGTGTGCACTCGTCTCTTTTCTGTTCGGATGATCTCGGGTTTGGCTCGCCTACGCTCGGCTCGGTTCGGCTGTACTCGGGTCGGCCGGCGGCGGCGCGGCGCGCATGCGCGCGCATGCGTAGTGGGCGGCGGCGGCGGCGGCGACAGCATGAAGTAGGTCTGAGGGGAGGGAGCGATGGCGGGGCTTGGCCTGGCCCGGCCCGGCCCCTCTTGCTGCTCCCGGGGCTGACGGTGCCCTCGCCCTCAGCCCCCTGACCAAAGTGAAGCTGATCAACGAGCTGAACGCGCGGGAGGCGGAGCTGGGCGTGCAGGAGGCCGTGTCGTGGCACGCCGAGTACAAGGACAGCGCCTGGATCTTTGTGGGTACGGGCCGGGGCCGCGGGGGGGCCGGGCCTGCACGGTGCCCCCTTCCCTCCTCTCCCTCCTCTCCCTCCTCTCCCTCCTCTCCCTCCTCTCCCTCCTCTCCCTCCTCTCCCTCCTCTCCCTCCTCTCCCTCCTCTCCCTCCTCTCCCTCCTCTCCCTCCTCTCCCTCCTCTCCCTCCTCTCCCTCCTCTCCCTCCTCTCCCTCCTCTCCCTCCTCTCCCTCCTCTCCCTCCTCTCCCCGCAGGCGGGCTGCACTACGAGCTGACCGAGGGGGATGTCATCTGCGTGTTCTCACAGTAAGTGCTGCAGCCTCCCCCACCCGCCATGCCCCTGCCGCTGCCCGGGCTGCTGAGAGTGTGTTGCAGGTATGGGGAGGTCGTCAACATCAACCTGGTGCGGGACAAGAAGACCGGAAAGTCCAAAGGCTTTTGCTTTCTGTGCTACGAGGACCAGCGGAGCACCATCCTCGCGGTTGACAACTTCAATGGGATCAAGGTGGGTGAAGCAGGCTGGGACGCGGCTCAGCACCGGCCGGGAGCCCTGGGCAGCGTGCGGGGAGCCGGGCTGCGCCTCCGCGAGCAGCACGGCTCCCCTAGGTCAAAGGGAGGACGATTCGTGTGGACCATGTGGCCAACTACCGGCCCCCCAAAGACTCCGATGACTTAGATGATGTCACAAAAGCCCTCCACGCAAAGGGCTGCGGAGTTAAAACGCCGCCTCATACGTCGTCCGATTCCCTGTCCGAGGATGATGACGTGCCTGTAAAGAAGCAAAAAGGTGAGCTGTGTTCCGGCCAGCCCTGACCCCAGGAGGGAGTCAGGAGCCTCAGCCTTGTGAGGGCCCTTTGCTCGGGGGACCAAGGACGTGTGTGCTCTTGAAAAGAGCCACAGCCCGATGTCCAGGCTTTACGTCGTGATCTCCTGAGGGGTATCCAAGTGCCTGGACCTAGCCCTTGTCTGTGAATGTCATCCCCCAGCCTCTGAAGAGCTGTAACTTGCAGACAATAATAGCAATTTTCCTGGAAAAAAGTCTGCCAGGCTGCAGTTACTGCAGGGGGGGAGCAGCGCTGCAGGGGGTGGGCAGAGGGAAAGCTTAGGAAAAGCACCGCTTAATCTTAAAATCTGCTCTTAAAAAAGCACCACTTAATCTTAAAATCTACACCAAAGCAGTTGTGTAGAGGTGTGGAATGACCATTCTGTGGCCTACGAAAGATGGCTGAATTGAATAGCACATAAACCTGGCAGATCTGGATGAGGTTCTGTGGCTGCAGACTGAAACCAAAGGAATTAGGGAGAGTTGGCCTAGATGACCTTTAAAGGTCCCTCCTGACCCCAACTATTCTATGAAAATAGACTGATAAACACAGTAAAAGTGAAACCATCCGCGTGCCTGAGTACCTCCTGTTCTCAGTGGACGCAGCAGGGTTTGTTGCTCCGTTATCTTTCATAAGATACCCCCAGCAGGCGGGTATTGGCAGCAGGGATTTGGGGCCAGCTTGGAGCTACAGCTGAGCCCTTGCGCTGTCAGGGTTTGAGACGTGTTTTCACTGTGATCCCACATCTGGAGAGGAGCTCAGCACCGTGTTGCCTGGAGGGAGGACACGGGATGGATGAGGCCTCAGCGTGGGATGGAGGGGCTGGCATCCGGCTTTGAGAGATGGGTTGGAGGAAAGAAAGCAGGCAACAGAACTAAGGGTGGGGGAAGAATGTTGCTCCAGAGCTCTGAGGAGATGCACAAAAATGAGGCAGGGGAGGGCGAAAAGGGAAAAGAATCGTTGGGTCTGGAGAAGAGAATTTCCACAGAGTGGACACAGTGTTGTTCTTGTGTGGACGTGGCTGAGGAAAGAGAGAGAAAGGACGGTGCTTGAAACTCTGAGCTGTGTTGAAGTGCCTGAGGGCAGCCTTGCTGGGGAGGTGACGGTTAAAGGAAGGCTCAAGCTGGGGGAGAAAAGTGGTTGGGGGTGGAAGTGGAATAGGATCTCTCTGAGTGGGGGGGCAGGGTGTGTGAAGCTCGGGTGGAGGGGGTAGAACTGAAAATGGGGGTGGGAGTTGGAAAGGCAGAGCTTGGCGGGTTGAGGCGATGCTTGCAGGCCTGCCTGTCCTGAAAGATGAACCTTGCATTTCAGATAAGGAGAAGTGTAGACAGGAGAGGCAAAAGCAGAGCTCGCAGGCTGTGAAGAGGGCGGTGTCCGCAGAGGAGGCGCACCCCAGGATCAAGATTAAGAAGGAGAAGGAGGACCCCGGCTACGAGCGCTACGCCAGCGGGAGCCAGCAGCCTTGGAAGGGCTCGGAGAGGAAACCCGTGAGCAGGACGCAGCGAGAAGAGGAAGAGCGGAGGCACCAGAGGCCTGCGGAGAGGAGCGGGGAAAAGAGCTGCCAGGACCAGAGGGGACAAAGCGGTTTGTGGGAAGAGAGGGAGAAGAGAGAGGAGGCTGGCAGGAAGGGCGACGGGCATGGCAGCCGGCGGGAAGAGTGTCCTGAGGGCAGGCGGTCCCGGGAGCGCGGCGCCAGGGAGCCCCATCCCAGGCCCCGGGAGCGGGGCTCTGCCAGAGGCTCCAGCCGCTGCTGAGCCCGGGGGCTGCCCCCAAACCTGCTCAGCACCTCCCGGGGCGGGGGGGGGGCCACCGTGGCTGGACCCTTTGCCCCCTGCAGTTTCTCATCCCGGCCTCGGCCGGAGATGGGGTTCGCTGCCTCTGTCAGCCCTTCCCGCGGTGTTGGGGCTTGCAGGCGTGCTGTGCCACACAGGTGGAGCAGGAGGGTGTTCTCCTTCCCCAAACTGCCCAGTTCCCCCAGCCCCGGGGGGCGTCCCCCTGCCTCGCAGAGCTGGGCCAGGTGTGTGGGCGTCTCCTCGGCCTCACACCGGCTTCTGGGATGGATCCCCAGAGCTGTGCTGCTGCGGCTGGGCCCTTTACTCCCTCTTGGTTTGTTTTAAAACAATTTTTAATAAAAACTACCTGTTCAGCAGGCGCTAGTGCCGGGAGCAGCATTTCCCTTTCACGGCTATGGGCGGGGGCGGGGGGTGGGGGGCTGGCATGACCCCCCAGTGCTGGGTGTGCAGAGGGGGGTGCGGGGTGCTGGTTTTTGGCCAGTTTGGGTCACTGCCCGCACTAACAACCCCTGCCGGGCTCTGTCAGGGCAGCTGCCGGGCTTGACCCCGGGGCCCTGAGGGCTGGGGCGGGGGGGAACGGGAGCGGGGGGCTGCGCTCTGCGTGGGGCTGTCCCACGCACCGACCCCGTTCCCGGTTTCCCCATTTCCCTTTTCCCCAGGCACCGGCCCCACTCCTGCTGTCCCTGAGCCCCGTTCCCAGTTTCCCCAGGCACTGGTCCTCGTTCCCGGTCTCCCCAAGCACCGGCTCCCCACTCCTGTTCCTGACCACTGGTCCCCGTCCCCGGTTTCCCCAGGCACCGGGTCCCGTTCCCCACTCCGGGATGGCGAGGCGGGGCCGGCGGGTGGGGCGCTCCTCCCCCCCCCACCCCCCCCCCCGCCCTTGCTGTCTCGGTTCCGGTTCCGGTGGCGGTTCCGGTTCCGGTTCCGGTCGCGGGTGGGCCCGTGTGTCCGGCCGGCCCCGCTCCGCCATGCCATGTCCGCGCTGAACTGGAAACCCTTCGTGTACGGCGGGCTCGCCTCCATCGTGGCCGAGTTCGGTGAGGCGGCGGGGGGGGGGGGGCGGTGGCCGTGGCCGTGGCCGTGGCCGTGGCCGGCGCTGACGGCCGCTCTCCCCACGCAGGCACCTTCCCCGTGGACCTGACCAAGACGCGGCTGCAGGTGCAGGGCCAGGGCGCCGATGCGCGGTTCCGCGAGGTGCGCTACCGCGGCATGTTCCACGCGCTCTTCCGCATCTGCCGCGAGGAGGGCGGCCGCGCGCTGTACTCGGGGTAAGCGCCGGGACCCCCCGGGACCCCCAGACCCCGGCGGCTGCGGGACCCCCGACAGCAGGACACGGGGCTGCTCGAGCGGGGCCAGAGGAGGCCACGGAGATGCTGGGGGGCCTGGAGCAGCTCCCCTGGGGGGCCGGGCTGAGAGAGTTGGGGGGGTTCAGCCTGGAGAAGAGAAGGCTCCGGGGAGCCCTTCGAGCGGCCTCCCAGGGCTTAAAGGGGGGGCAGGAGAGGTGGGGGGGGACTCTGGGTCAGGGGGTGGGGATGGGATGAGGGGTCACAGTTTTAAACTGAAATTTAGATGTAAGGAATAAATTCTATACTGTGAGGGTGGTGAGGCACTGGAGCACCTTGCCCAGAGCAGCCGTGGCTGCCCCCTCCCTGGAAGGGTTCAAGGCCAGGTTGGACGGGGCTGGGAGCCCCCTGGGCTGGGGGAAGGGGGCCCTGCCCGGGGCAGGGGGGGGGCACTGGGGGGGCTTTAGGGTCCCTTCCCACCCAAAGCACTCTGTGATTGCGTGCGTTGCACAGCAAGGCGCAGGGCTGCGCGGGCGCCTGCCTCCCGCTCTGGAGGCTGCGTGGGGACAAGGCGAGGTGCTCCCGGGGGGGGGGGGTTGTCCGGGCTCTGCCCCTTCCACTGCGGGTGTTGGTGGGGGGTGACTCGTGCCAGGCTGCCAGCGTGCCACGCTTTCGGTTGTGTCCCCCCCCCCCTCCCAGGATCGCCCCCGCCTTGCTGAGACAGGCGTCATACGGCACCATAAAGATTGGCATTTACCAGAGCCTGAAGCGGCTGTTTGTCGATCGCCTGGAAGGTCAGTGGCAGCAAACGTGTCCGTACAGGCACCTCTCGGCTCGCCAGAGGCGCGGTGTCAAATCACCTCCTGCTCCCCGTGCTGTGCAGTTTTGCTCATTCCTCTCTCTGTCCCTCCCAGCTCTAGATTCCCACAGAAACAGGGGGTTTGTTACTTCACGCTCTGGTTTTGTTTGTACAGCGATAGGTTGCAATACAGATGTGAATCTCGCTGTGCTTGGCCAGACACCTCTCCTGCCAGCCAGGCCTTTTCTTTCCCCAGCCTTTATCTCGGTTTTTGCAATGTCAGAGCCAAAAAAAAAAAAAAAAAAGGTGTCATTGTCCCAGGCTCATCTTTCCTTTCTGGTCAGTGTCAGGGAAGACACCTCGTCCCATCTGCACGTCGGGTGTGATGCATGGATTGAAAGCTCCGGTAGCGAGTCTCTCCTCCCCGGAGCCTTTGAGCCCTTGTGCCTGAACGCAGCACGTCTGGATAGAAATGGCAAGTTTCACAGATTCTGTGATTCTGTGAAATTGTGCTGTCCGGCCCTTTAGCTTTGGCTCCAGCCCGGAGGAGGGGAACCGCGGGTGCTCGTCAGCTGTGCCCCTCCGGCAGCGAGGGGCGTGCGGCTCCTGCCGAGCGCGCGGAGCAGCAGAAGCCTGCTACGTGGTCCCTGGAGGAGCCCCGGAGCCTGCACGCGCGGTTTTAAACCCCGGCGTGACACGGGTGAATGTGGTAACGCCGCTCCGACCTGGGAAGGCGTGCAGGGAGGCTGGAGGACGGGGGAGCGCCGCGCCAGAGCGCTTTTTTCCGGGGGCTGCTCGGCTCTCCAGCGCCGCACGGCTCCCCTCGCTTGCTGTCGCAGCGTTGCCTGCTCTTGTCTGAATGTTTGTCTCCCTGCAGGCCTGGGGCAGCCAGTGGCCTGGTCTCCTCTGGGAAGTGCTGTGGTCAGTACCAGCAAAGGGCTCTGCCTTTCCCCGACGTAACCATCACCCTAATATCGGGCCTGGAAGTCTGGGATTATTCTGCCCGCCCCCCCCTGGAACTAATTGCGTCTAACTTTCTCTGCCTGGGTCGCCTCTTCTCTGTTTTCTCAAGGTGGCTGCGTGTTCTGAGCGCGGCCAGCTGGGGCTCCAGATCAAAACAAATTGCTGTCAGATTGCCTTGAGAAGCGTTGGGTTGTCCCTCTCTGCCTTGGCTTGTCTCCATTGTGAGAAATGCATCACTGGACACTGAAATCTCAGCTGATTGTCCAAAATTTTCGCGGATGGCAGTCTTTTCCCTGTCTGATCAGCTAGGCTCATCAGCAAGAGCCGCTTCTCTCTCAGAGCGTGTTGCCGAGCGTTTCAGCTCCCGCTTTCTGGCTCTGGCCGGTGTGGGGATGGATCTGCCGTGGCCAGCCCCTGCTCGTGCAGCTTCACCATGTGATTTGTGAACCGAGCTTCTCCGCTCTTCCCCGAGCTTCTCGCTGCTTCGGTACCATCTGTGCGCCTTCTCTTTAGATCTTTAGGATCTGACTTTCTTTTCTGGGTTGCAGATGAAACGTTGCTGATCAATGTAATCTGCGGCGTGGTCTCGGGGGTGATCTCCTCTGCAATTGCCAATCCGACGGATGTGCTGAAGGTGAGGATTGTACCTGGCCAGAGGCAGCTCCTGCCTGGCTCTGGTTTGTTGTGCGTTTGGCCGCTGCTTTCCAGTGAAGGTGCATCTCTCCCGGCTGCGGTGCGGTGCTCTGTGAGCCACTGCTGGCAGCAGTTCTGCTAATTTGGGTTTTTTTTTTTTTTATGGATGGGAACAGAAGCCCAGAGCAGTAAACAGGTTTCTAAAAATGCAGCTGTTAAAGACCATGAAATCTGTTACGGCGAGGGGCGGAGGCTGTGTTGTTTTAACTGGGTGAGTGGGGTGGTAGCCGGCTGCTCATCAGACCTTCTCGGCTCCTTTCCCCGCGGTCCCTGTGCCGCGCGTTGCTGACGCTGCCACAAAGCCCTCCCTGTCAGCAGGAGTGACCAGAGTTCGGTGGGGACTGCCTGGTCCCCTGCGGTCCCTGCTGCGGGGTTCCTGGGGTCAGGGTAGCTCCGCTCTGAGCCAAGGGAGCCTGGAGAACTTCCCCCTGTGCAGACCGGCCTTCTCAGACTGGTTTCCAGTGCCCGTTGCTTCTCTGTCTTGTCTGAGCTTGGCTCTGTGCTTCCGCCCCGGCACCGTCCCTGCTCCTCGCCTGCCGGGGAGGGCGCGGGGGGAGCGGCGCCTGCTCCGACCTGCTCTCCTGCTCTCCCTGCCAGGAGGTCGCTGAGCTAGTCTCTGCCCTCCTGGGCTGGTGCCGATGTCGTCCCGCTGACTCTGGCCTTTCTTCCAGATCCGAATGCAGGCTCAAGGCAGCTTATTCCAGGGTGGCATGATCGGCAGCTTCATCGACATCTACCAGCAAGAGGGTACCCGAGGGCTCTGGAGGGTGAGCACCAGCTGCTGGGACCCCCTGCCACTAGTAGCAGAACTCACAGCTTGTTTGCTACACCCGGGTGCAGCTCGGGGGGAGAACTGTGAACCAAGGGTGGTAGGAAAGTTCCGCTTCTGGTTACGGGACGGACAGAGGCACGTCTGTGGCGGAGGCTGGGTCCGTGCTGCGGCAGCATCAGCGCTGGCCCCGGCAGGCCTGGTGTCTGGGACTGGCGCTGGGGCTCATCGGGTTTCCAATACCTGAGTGTCCCCTGAATGGGACCAGCATTTGGGGCCGGATCCTCCCCGTGGCCTGCCTTAGGGGGGCTGCTCAGCCTGCTGTGTCTTGGACTGCGTCGGAGGTGACCCTGCGCGCAGCCAGCAGGGCAGTTTTGCCTGCCTCTGAGGGCGAGCGGCTGAGCACCTCCTCACCTGGAGGAGGAGGAATTCTTCCAAGTGACTTGAGAGACGCTAATGACCAACAGTAACTTTCTGAGGTTCCAAAGGGAGAAATTTGCCCCACGTCCCCACTTACCCCATCCTTGAAACCTGCCCTCCGAGCATGCAAAGAGCAGGACAGAGTGGTGGCTTTTGGGGAAGCTGGTGATATAAAGCTCATGGGCTTGAGGACAGATGAGAGTTACCAGTGCTGAAGCCTTACTGTTTGGATCTTAGTTTTTGTTAGAGAACCCCTCTTTGTCCTTGCGTTACAAGTCTTCCATACGCTCGGTTACCCAGCAGTCTGCCGAGGTGCGAGGTCGGGTGGGGGAACTACAGAATTCCAATGCTTTTTTCCAGGCAACAATCTGATTTCTCCCTCTTATGGTCACTGAAGCCTTTTTCAGAAAGATAGCTTCACAGTGTCCTGT